ATTTAAGAAAGGACTTGTGTCGCTAAAGTTTCATGGGAACGAATTTACGGAAAATTAACTAACGAACAGAGACATAACAGCTGTTATGTTAAACTTATATTAAAGTTTTTCTTCATTACCCATTCATGCCATCTCCAAGCATTATTTTATCCACCCAGTTCATAGTAAAAAGAGTTAATTAGTATTATGATTAAAAAAAAACAATAAACTAATCAAAATAAAATTTTCTTAGTATTACTGTTTTTGATTATTCCAAACATACTGACTTCTTTGAAAAGGTTCAGTACTAGAATGATGGTATGGATGAAAGGTTTATTTAATGGGGATAAATTATATCTATTAAAATTTAAAGTTAGATTATTTCCTCTTGAGAAAAGAAGGGTAAGAAGTGATCTTATTCTTGTAGTTTAGAAGATTATCAAGGAGATCCTATCAATTTTTTGTGCCATAATCTGTATATAAATTATAATACTAATAAAATGAGAAAACATAGGATAAAACAAGCTATGCTCCAATTAATACAACTTTATTTTCCCAACATGAACAATAACATGATGTTTCCATATGGAATAATTTGCTGTTGCAATTTGAGTAGTAATTTAGTTCAGCAATTACTCAGTCTAAAAAAAAACACAATAGAAATGACTGCATGAAGTGGAAAATAATGAAAAACAATTAAAACGCATGTCTGTAAGTATAACAAACGCTTTATTATTACTTGCAACGTTTCGGTCAGAAGCCCTTCGTCAGACGGTATAAACTGTACACTTCGCTTTTTCATGAGTTTTATCTTACAAATATTATAATATATTGCAGATTAATTATGTGATAAAATTACAAATAAAATGAAGTGTATCTGCGAGAATATGCTTAAAATTATACCATTCTAACGATATTCACGATCAATAAGTGTTTATACTGGCTGAAGTAAGAGCTTCTGTCAGTTCTGGCCGAAACGTTACAAGTAATAATAGAAAAACGTTTTTGTTATACTATAACTTACACTAAGTTATAGACGTGTTTTATTTTTAACATTTTTTCATTACTTAAGTCTAGACGAGCTTAAAACTAAAATGGGGATTTATGAATTCTTGAAAAAAAATGGTGGGTTTACCTTGACGGACCAAATGGTCACTTGTTATCCATGTTATGTTAATTAAAAGCACGTAACTGTAATCACCTATACAGCATAGTTTAACACTTAGACTCTGAGGTATTACAAGTTACATAATCAATTTAATTTTACCAACCTCAGAATCTAACTCACGAACTCAGAATTCAATACTGTCATTTTAACGTGAAAAGCTTGTCGGAGAACCACAGCGCTCTCATACAGCGCCAAATTTCGAATAATTTCTTATTAAATAATTTTATAATTTCTATGGGGTTTTAAGACCGTTTTACTTTCACCTTGGAAAAAAAAAGAAATCGTAAATATATAGGTATACAATTTTATTATTATATTTCTGCTGTGTTTTAAACCAACGACATTTTTATCACAAATATTAAGTCTACTGATTTCTAATGCTTCGCCAGTTTTCAATAATTAAACCGCAACTTTTACAGTATTGTTACGTATCTGCTCGTTTGTTAATTTCCGGTATAAATAGTTGCCCACACTGGTTCCCACAACCTTGTATAATGTTCTGTCACACCACAGAGCTTCTGTATGGCTTCTAGTACTCCATTGTGATCTAGCACCTTGATATTCACAAGGGTTTGCTGAGATGCAGAATCTATGACAGAGTTGCACTTTTGGCTATCCAGCTTTCCTGTCACGTAGACACTGTGTGTGTTTGCCATTTTACACTTAGCTGTTGGGACTTTCATGATGGGGGTTGATGAACGCCCCTCAATACCAACCACTACTGGTTTATCCGAGGCTGACTTATTGGTAGTATTCTTCTTACACTGGCTCCTCATATGTCATTGCTCTACACAGTTACAACAACCTTTCTGGTTAGCAGCCTTTCCTACCGTGGCGTCTTCCCTGTGTTTAAGTTGCCGGCATTGAGCTCTCTTGTGCCCAGGTTTGTTACAGCACCAGCAAAGTCCCTCAAACTTCTCTGAAAGCTGCCCTTTTCTGGCCTTGAATCCTGACGATTGTACCAACCTTGGTACCTCTATGCTGGACTTAACGTAGGATTGGAATTCAAGAGCTCTGGCCATTGCATCTTGTATAGTACAGGGGTGTGCTTGCTTTACTTGTATTTTCAGTTGTGGACTGTCCAAGGCGTCTACAAACTGATCCCTCAGCAACAGCTTGAGAACATTGAGTGGTGCAGTTGGGTAGGCCTTGTATGCCATACTTTCCAAATCCTGTACCAGCTCTTGCAAGCTCTCCCCTTTAGCACAGACTCTCGTTCTAAACCTAGCCCTGTAGACTTCGGACTGATTTTGAGTTCCATACCTGAGTTCTAGAGCAGCTACCAGTGCTCTATACTTGTGCCTGTCATCTGCTGACAACTGTCCAAGTATTTCCAGTGGTTGTCCCTTCAAGCTCGTTGCCAGGTACACTGCTTTCTGCTCCTCTGTCCATCCATTTATTACAGCCAGGAGCTCAAATTGCACTCTATATGCTTCCCATGGTACCTTCCCGTCGAATTCATATGTCTTTCATCGTACTAGATCACCCTCATGTCTGAATTTGTGACTTCTGATAGGACTGAAGATGTCTGCATTAGGGTTTAGCTGCGAGGTCTGGAAGGGGCTTCCTGTTGTCTGGGGCTGATTAAGTCCATGGCTAATTTATCCTCCTTGTGTAAAAGACAGTAAATCATCCTTTAATATATTTAATTCACTTAGAAATTTACTAATCTTTCCATTTGTGTGTGCTGGCTTTCTCTCAACTGTTGGAGTCTTTCTTCCTGTTTCTTTTCTCGTTCTTCTTGTTTCATTTCATGTTCCAGTTGGCACTGGTGTTGGTTTCCTGCCACTGCTGTAGTCTCTATTCTTGTTTATTTTCTCGTTCTTCTTGTTTCTTTTCTTTTTCCTCCAGCAACTGCTGTAATCTCTCTTCTTGTTTATGTTGCTGTTCGAGCTGCCACTGTTGCAGGTTTTCTTGCCACTGCTGTTGTCTCTCTTCTTGTTTCTTTTCTTTTTCCTCCAACAACTACTGTGATCTCACTTCTTGTTCCATTTAAAAAAGATTCGACCATCATGAAAAAATGTGAAATAACTCTAAATTGCACATTTTTTATTTCTAGAATAACTCTAGATTGTAATTTAAAATTACATTTGTTTATCCTGAGTAGTTTAGAGCTTGTAGCGTTTTATATCTTTTTTCTACTTAATTTGTTGTTTTATTGCCCCTTTGAACGGTGTATAACTAAAATGCTCAGCGAGTGCTCAGCCCAGTCTACCGAATTTAATTACATAACGGGCTTACATGCGTTTGTTGTCAGTCCTACGTCAAATTTAAGCTTAAACTTTTTCAATCAAGCTTCTGGTACACTAAATATTTTTTATTGTTTAAAATTGCAACTAAAAACACAAAATAACAACAAGTCAACATTTCCTATAGCTATTATAATTTAACTGGCTTTCGAACTGTATCATACAGGATTAACAGTGTACCTAGACGTCATTTCGTCAATAGCAGGCTAACAGGCCGACTGTCACTTAGACAGTGGAAACTAGTTAAGCTTCACATAAAATTGACTTCCTTTTTATTGGTAGGTTTCCAATATTATTCTTACAATAGCTAGGATAGTATAGTCTATTATATACGTAAAAATACGCATAGGAAGAAATATATATATATACTTATATTGATACCTAAACTGCATTATTTTTTCACAAACCAATTTCAGTACATATTTTTTTGCCACTTGAAAGTGTAAATTCTTGAATCTTAGTTATATTTATTACTAGCATTCACTTGCAAAGGTTTTATGAATAGTGTTTCTAGACATATAAACCTCGAATCCAGTTTGTTGTTTGAATATATTTATTATATTTTCTTTTTTTTTCTAACTTGAAATCCTTTTCCAATCGAGGAATATCTCAACAATGTAAGCATAAATATGGTGCACAAAAGAGGAAATTCAAACAGCAGAAAGAATAGGCTGAAAGTATAGGAAAGCAAACTTTTTTGTTGTTGGTTTTGAAAAGTGAAGATCAGCCCAAAGCTTTCCATTCAGGGTCAGATGTCAATAATTACCATGAAGCATGATGAAATGTTAAATGATAATAATAGGAATGACAATCTCACAGCATATTGTTACGTCTATGTTCGTTTGTTAATTACCCGTAAAATGTCTTTTCGAAGAACTTCAGCGATACAAGTCCTTTCTTAAATAAAACTAGTTTATTCTTTCTCAATACAACTTTGCAATACACTTAATTTCCACAGTCACTTTAACTTAAACACACGCTATAATTCACAGCGATTCACGCACTTTTCCTACGACTTGATTCGATTTTCTGTCTCTATATCTCCCTATTTGCAATTATCTATGCCGTCACCTCACTTCTCTCCGCTTTATTTGCCGGGCTTATATATATAAAAATAGAGGGCGTCTGGCAAACACTCGAGCCTTCATGATCCTTTTAGAAACTCATCACGTGTTACCAGCATCACGTGACTTCTGCTATCCTGTTACATAAAACCAAAGTGACTATCTACAGCTAAATGTAATCACTACTGGAGGAACACTTTCAAAAAAGGTTTCTGAAAAGCCACAACAGCTCAGTGGACTTAATTTTGGTATCTTAACTGATGGGAGTGTATCAGCTGAAAACCTTGAGCTATCTATTAGAGCTTGGTCTCTACAACACCCTAAAGATTTTCCTTTTCCAAGTTCTCTTCTAAAGTCTTGCTGCAAAATGGTGAATGGAGTAAACGTGATTAGCTAGTTTGGGGTAATATTAGGCAAACTGCATAGTGTGAGCTTGAGAGATGTTTTGGGGCAAACTCTTGTGTTGACTGGTAGCTTTCAAGAGCAGCCAAATTGAAGGACATTCTAAGATAATTATAGATATTTTCCTTTTATTGGGGGAGAGAGGTGTATCCTTTCGTGGATCATCACAAAAGATTGATGCGTCTGATAATTGTATATTTTTTTAGGAATAATTGAGCTGATTAATCATTGTGATCTAGTTCTAAGGGAGCATGTAGGGAGAGTTACAGAATTAATTCATAGCAACCTGTTCTCAGCACGTACATCATATTATTTTAGAGGAAAGACTTGCAGCAAACTAGTTTGCTATTATAGTAAATGCAAAATATAACACCTGATTCATCTCATCAAGAATATACAACTTTTATCCTGTGGTATGTATCCATGCTATCAAAATGTTCTTCCGTTGTCATTCAAGAATAGTTTATAAGATATATTGATTGCAATAAAAAGACTGTGGCCGATATTTCTAGTCGAATACTTGATTGCTTAGCTGATCATGAAATACCAATAATGGAGTCTCAATCCTTGTGGAGCAAAAGCAGCAGAAAATTGCACAGAGACTCAGATATTCTTTGAAACAGTTCAAAATATTTACAATCTATTTAGTTGTAGCTCATAGAGATGAAGCATTCTTCTCGAGAATATAGGCTGTTTTCATCATGAGCAGACAGAATGGTCAGATCTTTTGGAGCTCATTTTCCTGGGATTGTGGATGCACTATCAGATATTCTTCAATTCAATCTTACATCTCAAACTAAAACTGAAGTCATTTGTATAACGAACTATGTGCAGTCATTTTCTTGCATCTTGATGGCTGGAATCTGAAGTTACTTGTGATCATCTATCAGCACAATTAAGTATTGCGGCCCCGTAAAGCTACCAATCATAATGAAGTGAGCAACATTGAAAGTCTGTTGATTGATTTGAAAATACTGCTTGAGCATTGGAGCTCAGGTTTCTCATTGGTCAAGTTTAGTACTAATGAAGATGTTTATTAATCCTATCGTTACGAGTCAAAGGCCATGTTATTGCGTTTGTTGACTTGCATTCAAAATTTTATTGAACTGCTATTTTATGAATTTATGTCAATAAGTTTGGTATCAAATTGTAGATTATAATTCAGATTTTTGTAGTATACAATAGTTAATTTCTTAATTGAAAAGTAAATATTAAAAGAATACATCTAAATATTGATTTTTGTGTGTCACGTGCTATGTTGAATGCAGCATTGGTTCAAATTATATGTTTGTGATGTTCAAATACAAAGTCTAAGTTTTATGAATTAGGAACTCAAATTACTGATATTGACAAGCTAGAATATAAAATAAGAATCGACTATCTTTTCTATTTGCTTTTTTATACCTATCACCCCACTGCTCCTTCTAAGCGTGTACCTCGTTCCTAAAAC